ATATATGTATGTATGATGTAACGAAAAATGACGAAAGCAAAACTAAAAATTATATATACTTATGAGCTTATTTTATAAGAAAACATTTATTAAATTATTATTCAAAAAAAAAAATGCCTCCACTTCGTAAAACACAGCTGAGGAACGTCGAACTTCGAATACTTTTCGAATGCAGAGACACCGACGCTTGCAAACTCCACCAAAAATACAGCAAAAAAACAATAATATAGGTCGTTGCTTTCAAGAAACAACAACATCCGTTCGCCATATTTCCGATACAGTTCATAACTGCTCTTATTGTAATGCAAAACTTTTTTTAACTGAAACACAAGAAATGTGCTGTAAGTCAGGAAAGATCAAGTAAGCTACTGTATTGTTATCAAGCAATTGTTATTAAATTAATTTTTCATTTCATAATAATTTAATTATTACTAAATAAATGATTAACAGATTAGCATCCGCGAATGATACAATAGCTTTAAGAAATTTATATATGAGAAATGATAATATAGGAAAAGATTTTAGAGAAAATATAAGAGCTTATAATAGTATTTTTGCCTTCACTTCGATGGGCATTAAATTGGATAAAAACCTTGCGAATGGTAAGAGATTATATCAAAAAAAAATAAAAATAGACTTAAACAAGTATACTAACTTATCTATAGGCAAAGATGGAATCTACATGTTCAGGGTACAAGGCGGGATTTACCACTCTATAGGATCCCTTTTTCCAATCGATGGAGTACCTAGATTCCTTCAGTTATATATATATGATACTGAGTACGAAACAGATAACAGGCTTTCCATTATGCCTAAACTTCATCGCGACACTTTAGAATTCATTAAAACATTATTAAACCAATTGAACCTCTTCGTAACCAATTTTCGTTCGATTAGCTCAAATAATAACATTAATAATCTTCATTTACTTATCAGAGCTGATCATAAGTTAGACCAACCTATTTACAATAAACCAACCGCCTCACAAGTAGCAGCTGTATGGGTGGAAGGGAATAACCCTATAGAATACACAAAGCGTGACATAATTATCCAATCATGGTCCCAAGGTTTACGTAGAGTTTCTGAGCTAAGCGGGACATATGATCCAAGCAATACCCGCTTATTTTTCCGAACGGTGATTATGGATGGAATCCCGAGATATTACAAAATATGTCTCAAAAAAAAGTTACTGCGAGACAATATTATGCTTGCAAACTACATTTCCGAGAACCTTTGATGTCTTTAATTTTTCTTGGAGGCAGATTATTTCAACAATACATTGTTGACAATTATGTTAAAATCGAATCTGCACGCATTAACTATTTACGCTTTTCACAAAACAAGATTCGTAGCGAACTTTACCAGGGTTTGCAAGATTCTTTTCAGGCTGGTATATCTAATGCATCGCAAGTAGGACGTCGTATTGTCTTACCTTCATCGTTCATAGGTGGGCCACGTGAAATGTACCAACGCTACCAAGATGCAATGGCGTTGGTACAAGCCTATGGAAGACCAGACATATTTATCACCATCACGTGTAACCCTCGCTGGTCAGAAACAGGGACACGGGGAAAATGCGATTTTATTTATAGGATTTTGAAAATCCTATAAATAAAATCGCATTTTCCCCGTGTC